TGATCCAGGTATCAAAATGTAGCTTTTAAAGTCAAGAATCTGAAAATGTAATTAGGTCATTTTGATCAAATTTGACTTAATCCTCATTTCGATATGATGGGTCACAAATTTCAAGTTGGAAGTTTATTTCTATCAGTTGGACCTGTCCGGGAGCCTCTGTGGTCCAAAACACACCTCTGCTACCTTATAAAAGCATAACAATAGGAAGAAAGTCGAGATAATCACCAAAAGAGGTGCGTGGAGATCCTGGGAAACCAGGAAATTTGGTCAGAGAGGGGGGTTGAGGTCTTGTGCCATTGTGCAGAGCTGCAAACAATTCAAACATTATTAAAACCTCTTCCTGACTGTTACAGCAGAGCAGGAACTGAAAATCACAATCAGAAAAATGTTTCTTCAAAAACCTTACCGGGACGAACCGGGAGGAAGGCCCGAGGTTTCTGCAAAAGAAAAACCAAAGACATAAAAGATAAAATTACGTAAAACTAAAACAGGTGCCCAAACTTTTTTGCTTCATGAACCATTGCTGTAAATCCAATGATCATATTTGGAAGATCTTTCTGTAAATATTAAATTTAGAAATAAACTTTCACAAATTGTCGCCAGGACACACTTGCAAATCCTGCAAAGATGAAAAGAAAATTTGACAACGTACACCTGCTGAATGAAAGAATGGACAGACTAAACCTCTTCACGTGAGAAGGTTTAGTTCAGCTTTAATGCTTGGTGTAAACTGAAAGTTTCAGTTCATTTGAACACATCAGCCTCTACACGCTGCAGATCACGTACCAATGGCGTTGACGAAGTATGGTGCTTGTACGTCTGCTGAGTGTTTTTATCTGTGAAATCAAAAAAGTCTAAATCACATCATTGCTGACAAGAGAGAAAAAAAAGATCCATTAGTTCAAGGAAAATTTGAAAAGAAAAATCTTTAGGTAGTTAGGTACAGTATGTTCAGGAATAATAAGACAAACAGAAATAAACGATTCACAGTTTTTTTACTGCAAAGTGAACAAAAGAAGCAGCTGATTGTAAACATTTTCAGACTGATGGCGAGAGCATTTCTTACGGCCCATGTTGGTGTTGTGGATCACCGGCTTGCTCCACATGCCGCTCCGGTTGTCCTTATTGGAGCGAACACCAAACTCATACGGAGTGTTGGGCTTCAGGTTATCCACAACCGTGTCACTGGTTGGACATGTCTGGTAGATCCACTTCCTGTTTCTCTCCCTGTAGCGGATCGTGTAAAATCTGATGGAAGACAGAAGATCTTTATTATTGCTCGGTTGGAGGATTAGGGGAATATGGCCACATAATCTGACAAGCCATCACATACTGTGGTGTTTAGGTTTACAAACTTTAAACCTGGACAGATAAATTGTTAGAGTTATTCAGTTTTCAGAACATAATAAACTCATCTGGTTTTCATCAGGTTCTAAAATGATTCAAATCTAACCTCAGAAGAACAAAACACATAACAGACCCAAATGTTGATATTAATTTAAAAAAAGAGAGTGTGGGGTTTATTTTCCACAGGAATGGATGTCCTGATGCATCTCAGTAATCCAGGTAAAAAATCAAAAGGAAAAAAAATTGTATAGGTCTTCTGGACGGGTTCTTCTTTAATGAAACGTTTCGTCTCTCYTCCAAGAGACTTCTTCAGTCTGAGAGTTTCAGGCAAAATKCAGGCTTTTAAGYMCTGCCTCCAKGTGACTGATACTCACATCACATGRCTATSGTTCACAGGTGACTGATACTCACATCACATGGCTATCGTTCACAGGTGACTGATACTCACATCACATGGCTATCGTTCACAGGTGACTGATACTCACATCACATGGCTATCGTTCACAGGTGACTGATACTCACATCACATGGCTAACGCCATGTGATGTGAGTATCAGTCACCTGGAGGCAGGACTCAAAAGCCTGAATTTTGCCTGAAACTCTCAGACTAAAGAAGTCTCTTGGAAGCGAGACGAAACGTTTCATTAAAGAAGAACCCGTCCAGAGGACCTATACAATTTTTTTTCCTTTTCACAGGATTGGATGTTTGATATTATAACTAGCTTTCAGGTAGTGTTTTATTGTTTTTGTTTGGTGTGTTTTTTTATAGTTAGCACTTTGCTACGTTCTACATTTTGCTACTTTAAGCTAGCATTTTGCTACATTTAACTAGGGTATTGCTACTTTAAACTATTGCTTTTAGCTTTAGAAAAGAAGCAGTCATTCAGAACACGTCATTCATCATGCAGTTTGACTGAACTAAGCTTCTCTAGTTAAATATTTTTGTTTTGGAGATAACACTAAGCATGCACAAAAACAAATACTTTTAAACTTCTTGGAGTGCAGAAGTCATGGCATATCTACAGAGGATTATTCTTCCACGAAACACTCGTTTTCAATTGAAATCTACCTTCAAAACAAAAACAAACAAATAAGGTTTTGTATTATTGAATAACTTGAACTTTGAAGAGTTTTTCAAACTGTAAATTGACTCTTAAGAACCAATGAAAACCATTTGCTGCTGCATCAACACATGGTCCTGATGAATCTACTGAATGATCAACGACCCACTGAAAACTGTAGTTTCAGGTCTGGATCTTGTCAAAATGGCTGCAGTGCTGAAGGTGTCGAGTTAACAAGACGATGAGGTTAGACACGTGAACGACAAACACAGCAGTGCGGTTTCTCTCTGGCTGCCTGCAGCCGCCGTGACCTCAGCGTGGAAACAACATTGTTGTTCATTCTGGCTGTGTAACCGTCCCATCTCCAGTTTCACTCCCCGAAAGTTGTGTTTTTCAGAGCAGGGATCCAAAACATCTGAGTCTGCAGCCAAGAGCTCTGCAGAAGGAGCTGACATTAGTGTTATTAAGGGCTATTGGCTCAAGATTTCCAAAGCTTTCTCCAAGCAATTCGACGGGGAGGAAAAAATGTGCACTGTAGGTGGTGGGAGAACGTCCGTGTAGGATCCCTCAACACATTTGGAGGATTCAAACACAACGGCAGCCGTTTGCAGAGTCGTGATTTATCATATTGATTGGACAGAGATGGCCAGACAAAGAAACTTTTTAAATGTTCAGAAAACACAGGTTTCCAATGGCTTTCTGTCATTATTATGGGACGCCTTATTTGTTGATCCTGTTCATTTTCCCACCCAGCAGTTGAACCTTTCCCGGTCATCACTTCTGCATTGGAATAGTAAATTTTGTGACAAATATCAGAAGAACCTTAAACTCAAGAAACATAGAGTTGCTTTATGAAAGTATGACGACACCCACCCATCCTCCAGACACTCGTTCATGATGTTCCCTTCATAGGGCGTCTTCAGGTGGTTTCCCCAGGACAGCAGCACCGCTGTGGGGCTAACTGAGCCGATCACCAGGTGAAGCGGCTTCTCCAGGTTCACCTTACCTGAAAAGAAACATTCAGGGACGGTGAGACAGGGAGAAATTTCCAGGGCAGGTGGGACCTGACAGATAACACACCGGTGCACTGTTTCTTCACGTCGTTGGCCGGGATCGGTTGCACGGCCACCAGGTACTTTGGTTCTGCATCTGAAACAAAATGGAAACTTGGGTCAGGGTTTGGTCAAGTTCTGCATCAGATCCAGAAAAGATGAAAGGCAAAGGGTCTCGAGCACACTGAAAAAAATAACTTGTAAGATTTACTTGAAAAAAATCCTCGTAACTATTTGCACTAACATTTGGTAAGTAAATTTAAATGCTACAAATTCATGTAATATTCACTGTCATCATTATCTAGTAAAAGTTATTAAGGATATAGTTTAAGATTTATGAATAAATCAGGTAAATTTTACTTAATTTGCTCAAGTAACTCTTGTATCATATACTTGATCAAATTAAGTAAAATTTACCTGATTTATTCACAAATCTTTAACTATATTCTTAATAACTTTTACTAGATAATGATGAATGCTACAAATTCATGTAATATTCACTGTCATCATTATCTAGTAAAAGTTATTAAGGATATAGTTTAAGATTTATGAATAAATCAGGTAAATTTTATTTAATTTGATCAAGTATACAGGTGCTGGTCATAAA